TGCCATGTCGCTCCATGACAGAAAGAATATGGTTGTCACCAACTTAACAGATTCAGGTTTTGTTTATGAGTGATTGAGAGTCGCACACCTATCCAAGCCCCAGGTAATTTGAGGATATTTCTTAAGTTACCAGTCAAGGGGAGGCAAGGAAAGACTTGCACGGCACCTACCCATTTGTAGATTTGTAATCATCACCTTGAATTCTTCTACTACAAATAGAGGACCTCCTCTCTTATTTTCAGGATTCTGATCCTAAATCCTCATTCTGATTGTAATCTTTATTTTCAAAGCAAATATAACCCATGAGAAAGAGACCATTTATTGTACCTCTACTCATTGTTTGCTATACGCGATCACTTGTAATCTCTCATATATAAAAGAAACAATGGGCGTAAGATTCGCTTTAGGCATCCGAACCACTTTAAAAATCATATCTCTCATTTATTATTCAATCTTTGTATTTGATCATAATCATTTATGTGTAATTTCTAAGAACAGTTTAGCACTTTGCACATGTGAGTTGTTGGTGTCAAAATCAAGCATCAACAGTTTGGCGTTAGAAGGAGGGGCATGATTCACATCAGCTCTCCATGTTTTTCCAACAAGCCTCAAAATCTTCAAGTTATCAAATGTGAAAATTTGAGCCTAATAAAGTTTGAATCTAGCGATGTGATAAACATAAGAGTTGTACCCCTTTGAGTTAGCTTTCCGATGGTCAAATAATCATTTAAATCTGAGGTCTACAGCTCAAGTTATTGTCAAAATACAAAAACTTATTATAGATCATAGCTTTCAGATCGCATGGCTATATCGCAGATCACACGCATCAGAGCTCTCAGATCGCGTGGCTAGATCATAGATCACATGCATTAGAGCTCTCAGATTGCGTGGCTAGATCATAGATCACACGCGTCAAAGCTCTCAGATCGCGTGGCTAGATCGTAGATCGCACGCGTTAGAGCTCTCAGATCACATGGCTAGATCATAGAGTTATCGCACATGTTAGAGCTCTCAGATCACATGGCTAGATCATAGATCGCACACCTCAGAGCTCTCAAATCGCAGATCGCAGGCATCAGAGCTCTTAGATCATGTTTCCGAGCACTTAGATCACACATTCAAGATCGTTGAGATCACGCGTTCAAATCATTTAGATCGTGCTTCCGAGCACCCATATCACGCTTCTGAGCGCTTAGATCGTTGATATTGAGTTTTTAGATCAAGCTTCGCACTTTTTGATCAAACTCCTTATGTTCTCAGATCAAGTTTCACACTTTCTAATCAAACTCTTTGAGCTATATGTTTTCTTATTGAATTCCTTGTGTTCTCATATCAAGCTTCGCGTTTTCTAATCGAACTCCTTGTGCTCTTAGATCATAAAGAGCTCTCAAGCTCTCAGATTGCAAAGAGCTCTCAAGTTCTCAGATCAAAGCTCCTTACGCTTTATATCGATCTCATAAGCTCGCTCATTTGCTTGAGATCAGACGTTGTGGATCATTCAGATCGCACGCCTCAATCTCTCAGGTCAAGCCCCTATCAGATCGTGATCAGCTCCTAGCTCTCAAATCGCGATCAGCTCTTAACTCTAAGATTGCGAACAACCTCAGGTCATGTTCTTAGCTCTCAGATCATGATCAGTTCTCAGATCGGGACTAGTTGTCAACTTTAAAAAAAACGCATAGAAAACTCAAAACAGCCTCGAAACATGTCGAAATGATGGATTTTGGCCTAAAAAATGGCCTCAACTAGGTTCTCCTATTGCCACAACGTAAAGCTCGGAACAAGCTTTCCGTGGATATCTTACGGGCGCCAAAACTCCTCCCGGATCAAAAGTTATAGCTATTTTAAGTTGGCTTGTCCGTTTAGGGTTTCTAAGCCGTGCGTTTGGGCTTTTGACATCAGCTCTCTTCAGGAATTCATCTACTTGACATTTTATATTAGTTCTTAGATTGCGCTCAGCTTCAGATCGCTCCAAGCTCTCAGATTGCAGTCCTAGCTCTCAACACCCAATTATGCCTGACATAGTTCGAGCTCTTCAGTTCGAGACTGCAGCCTATAGTACAACAGCCATTTAGATCTAAGACATGAGTTTTTGAAGTGCAATTACGCACTCCAAAAACTAGTGGGGGTTCTGTTGTGCCAAACATACACACTAATATCAGCACCACCAATCAGAGTTCAACAAGCACTTAAAGATTAGGTAATATTAGCTATCAAAAACCCAAACTACCTCTAAGAGATATTTTATATCAATCATATCCCATTTTAAAATAAGGATTAAGGAGTAGTCCCGACATGTCAAGACAACTTGCAAAAACACTCATTACATTGACCTCAAAGGTATAAATGGTCACCCCTCTTCGTGAAAAAAGAGCTGGCTAGGCATATGAAAGCTAGACAAACATTTGAGCTTTATTATTTTCTCTCTGTAAACAAAACATTTCTCCATTTTTGTAAGCCTTACAAACAATATCAGAAAAATAGCAAGACAATAATAAAATAACAGTGAATGTAGGATTCAATTTAAGCATCCGAATCACTATAAAAATGTCTCTTGTCAATCTATTATTTATGTTTCTACAAACATATATAATCTGTACGCTATAATCAACTCTCATAATCATTCACATGTAATTTCTAAGAACAACTTAGCACTTTGCACGTGCGAGTGGTCGATGCCATAATCACGGGATTTGAAAATTATGCATGCAAAACTTTCATTTACTTCATCAAAATACTAATTAAGGTGGCATTTTTTTTTTCCATCTGAAAGCTAAATAAGTCCTAAATTGGAAAAAAAAAAATCTGAATAAATATGAAAAATATTTTTGTTTTATCACTTTTAATGTGTGATTACAAGTGTTGAGTTGTTAATTTGTAAACGACATGTTCCCACTTGAGGTTTAACGAAATGGCAAGTTGATACCTCTGGTTTCATTTATTCTAGATTTCTACTCTTAAAATAACATCATTTGCTAAAATAGTCATATACACTGTAGTGAGACGCACGTTAGCATGCTAAAGTGCGTCGGCGTTTTCTTTGGCAGGAGACAAGCTCACGTTAGCAGCATCCAAGCCAACAATTTTTGGCTTTTTTCGGTCGATTCTGAAATTCAAAATCACTTCCAAGATCACCGTTGGACCTCCCATAACCTCCTTTATAAAACTTGTACCTTCACTTTTTGACCTCACTCAGCGTTTCCAAACCACCTCCATTCTTGCCACCTTGTGAGATTAGGTTACTTCTCAAGCTTTTTTCGGTCGATTTAAGTACAACCGACCTCTCCACTTCACCACTAGCTTCTCCACCATCATCTGATTGTTGTGATATGTTTTTTGGTCGTTGGTGACTCCCAAATCGCTGAAAATTGAAGCCTAAATTAATTTCCATAATCTGCTTGATTAAAGTCCTCACCCAGCTACTGTCCATAAGCCAACCTGATCATCACCACTAAATTAACGGTGTTACTTTAAGGGTAGGAATCTAGAGTAAATGAAACCAGGGGTATCAATTTGCCATTTTGCTAAACCTCGGGTAGGAACATGTCGTTTACTCTTTTTGTAAATGTTAAACATCTTAAAATTAGTATTTTGACAATTATGTCATTTTTAAATGTCATATTATATTTTACAATTTACATGTTTAAAAAAAAAATAAACAATTAAATTGTGAGAATCAAAACAAAACAAATGTATGAGTTAAAGATAATTATATTATTTCATTAAAAATCTTCAAAGTAATAAAATTAAGAAATTAGGTATATTAATAAAAAAATATTTAAGAAACAAAACTACATTATATTTATTTTAGCAATTTACTCTATTTTATTAACATTATTGTTCATTTGCAATTGTTTCTAGTAATGATAGAAAATATGATGAGTTGATATAATATTTGATGAGTTAATATATTTTTTTTTGGAAATTGTAACAAATTAAAGAATCCAAAAGAAAAGATAATTAGATTTGGAATTCAATGAATTTAATAAAGCTATTATTGATTAAAAAAAAAACAATAATTAAATAATTTTAGATGTCTTGGTATCAAGATAAAAGCCAAAAAAATTTGCTTAATAATTTTTATCTTATAAACTAACCTAAGTTAAAAAAAAATAAAAAAAATATAAATATATGAATCACCCAAATTTAATTACAGTAAGACTTAACAATATCGAAATAATAAAAATCGATTAACAAACTTTCTCTCGTAAACCTGACTGGTTTTTTATTAAGTTTTTTTTGTCTACTAAAATCAACTAACAACGTGATGGGAGTGTCACGTCATGTTTGTGAGTGAAAGTTTATGAAATCCATTTATCAACATAATATTGCAAATCATAAAATACTTTTAAAAAATACAACACTATTGCACTTATATATTCAGTCTATATGTAAAGTACAAAATCTACTTCCCTTTTTCATTTTATAAAACAGGTTTTTTTGGAAAACAATTAAATGAAACATCAAACACGAGCAAATGACCCTAAGATTTACATGGAAAACACCAAAACATTGGATTTTGAGTTTTTAAAGTAATATGCATGCATTTAATTAATTGACGAGACTTCTAAAACAGGAAGTAGTGAAGAAACAAACAAGTTATTTAAAGCTGTGCCTAGTAATAGGTTAAACTTAAACGTGCAGATAAAGGATAACTTCATACAATTCTACATGCAATACATTAATGTAGATCTTAATGAGAGAAAAATCATTAAAACAACAGCAGCAGTAGACAATTGGATTATGAGAAACAGAAGGGATTAATCCAGTAATCAACGAAGGGAAGAAAGAGGAATTAGTGGTGAAGAAAGTTTTAAATCTCTATATACAAACACCGTATATTGAATACGTATAAACTGATATGGCATAATGTGTTTGGCTCAATGATCATACATTTATAAACAAAATAAAATATAATAATACAATAATAAATTATATATGTATGAAATGGTATATATAGATGTATATATGAAATGGTCAAATAAATGTACGTAAATACATGCTTAATTAAGTATTCAAATACATTATAAAAAGTTCAGCATAAGGTTTGTTTTTGTTTTTAAGGTTTTACAACAAAGAGTAGTAGATCTTAAATAAGAGCACAACAACATGCAAAAGAAAACCAAGTCTAGTAGAGTAATATAGGAGAAAAACACACCACAACCATAAATCATAGAACTGATCAAACCTATATTTAATCTTTGATTCAATTCGTTTTCAGCTTCATGCAAGGTGATGGTGACGAAGATGGTGATGGTGATCCAACGCTCTTTCTTCCTCACTTAAACCAGTCATCGTTGATGCAACTTCACCTTCCCAAATGTTACCATGACCACTATTCACGAGGTGATGAACTGGGTTTGGCTGCTGCTGCTGTTGGCTCACAAACATCGTGTCATTGATTAGAGAATCGAGAAATGAAGAGAATGCATCTTCGTTATAGGTTTCGACATAATTTTCCTGGTTGATGCGTGCAGAATGGCTAGTCGGTAAACCCATCATGAAACCATCCATCTCCATTTCGTTATCCTCCACTTGATGATTTTGATTATGATGATGAAGATTGGTAACGAAGTTTTCATTGCTTTCAGTAGCTGTTGCTTCTGTGTCTAAAGATTCGGGATTGAGATTGGGATGAGGATTAGGGTTAGGATTTGAAGTTGAAGCGAGATGATCATTATTTCCGATAACATCTGAGGAAGTAGGTGATGGGTCTAACGGCTTGTGGGTTCTTGGATCAATTCCTTGATTAATCAGCTTTTTGCTAAGATGAGTATTCCAATAATTCTTGATCTCATTGTCAGTGCGTCCCGGGATTCTTCCCGCTATCAAAGACCACCTGAGAGTAAGAACATGAAGGTTGACATTAACAAATCTTTCATCGATAAAAAGGTAAAACAAGTGAACTCTTGACGCTGGATACAAGGAAAGTCAGTAAACTGTGAACATCTGATAGTATTCACGGTTTATGACCGATAAGGAGTCCCTTTTTTTCTTGTAATGCGCGTGATCATCCTCTGAATATTGATGGAGAATTGAACGATTAATTTGGGGAAGAAATGATTAAACACCAAATTACCGGAAGAAAGAGATGAAGCACAAAAGCTCCTAGTTCAAATTCATCTTGCAGCAGTAGAAGATCAATTGGAAGAGATTCATATTGGGTTAAGAAGAACCGGAGATTGACGGAGCTCTTATTGGCAAATAACGTGATTGCATAGAAAATGAGAGGACCGGAAGAAACAGAACAAAGAGTACCTGTTCCCGAGCAGGCGATGGAGGCGAAGAATGAGATCTTCTTCGTCAGGAGCTATGCGACCTCTTTTAACACAGGGTCTGAGATAATTCATCCACCGGAGACGGCAACTCTTGCCGCAACGAAGCAGCCCGGCACGCTTCGGGAGCGTACGCCAGCGGCCTTCACCTTCTCTCTTGATATAATTGGATAAGATCTCGTCTTCCTCCGGAGTCCACTGGCCTTTCTTGATGCCCACCTTGCTACAACACGGGGTTCTAGTACCAGAAGAAGGGTTTCTCATATTAACTGCTAATGAAATTTTCGAGCGTTGCTTTCTTTCAAGGACTGGTTTGTGTGGGACGTAAAGCTCGATGGAGGAATGAATTAATGAAGAAAATAAAGATTAGGGTTCAAGGTCGGGGATGGAGAGAGTGTTTTTGCAGATGTGAAGAGGCAAAGATGAAGTAAAGTAGTAACTAGTAAACGAGTATGATGCAGACACATCACCCTTAGACCCTACACACAGTAGAAGACTGCTCAAAGATTACATTCTTTGGCATCGTTTTGATATATTTGAGATAGTTAAGTAGAATTATTTTTTCATTTATTTTTTAAATTTTATGACAGCAAAAATAAAGATTATTTAATAGTAATATAAATCACATGTGGGTAGCAGAAAACAGCAGCAAAACAGGTTACAAATTATTCTATTATCCTCACTTGTCGTGATAAAAATCATAAAATATATATATATATATACACACACATTAATTAGCATTAAAAAAAAAGTGAATATATTTATTTATAAAATATCATCTATCAATTGTGTACGTATAGGTCAAAAGGAAAGGTCATTGTGCATTTAATAGTAGAGTAAATGAATTTTTTTCCCACCCAGGGTTTGCCTTATTGACACTTTCCCACCTAAAGTTTGATATTTTGTTATTAATATTTTGTTATTATCCAAAGTCAATTTGGATAGTAAAAATTATCTGTGTCATCACTATTTGAATCTCTGGTCTCCTTTTTATAAAACTTTTTTTATTGTAGTATCTGATTTCTCACCAATTACTAGCCATCGTAAAGTTAAGATTTCTTGTTCTTAGTTGATTTCTGTTTGATTTTGGCAAGGAATATACAATGGGTCACCACCATTCGATATACAGGCCTCTACTCTACAGAAACCTTTTTAACTTAGTTTCTAATAACTCGTCGAATATTAGATGTGAAAGTGATATATATTTTAGGTATTAACACAATATAAATATTGGGTGAGAAAATGGTATTTTGAAACTCTTTTTGGTGGAAAGTGTGATTAAGGCAAACCTTAGGTGGAAGGAGCTCTTTAATAGTACTGTATTTTGATTGCACGGGCGGCTGGCTGGTACTCTTTGACCTGTCCCCATATTAATGGTCTTTTGTTTCCAAAAATTTAGAAGAAAAAGAATCTTCTCACTTTCTAAATTTTGTAAACAATTTAGAGAAAATAAAAAATAAAAAGAAATTAATGTGAAATTGCCACGTCAATAATGCTTTACCTGGTTGGTAATGCTTGCCCATTTGCTTAAGCATTAAGTTTTGAATCAGGATTTTACATCTTTTATTTTATGGATAATGTGAATTTGACCTTATCCATATAATGGGTCCCATTTCACCGGCCTACCAAATTATCTCTTCTTTTTAGGACTAATGTTTTTTTTCTTTTCTTTTTTTACGTTAAGTAAATATATGATTTAATTTGTTGTTAATTGAAAAATAGAATAATAACAAAAAAAATCAGATAATATGAAAATTAAAACTTATATGTGTGATTTCAATAAACAGACCCTTGCTATCTCTTGCAGGTTTCAAAACCTACAATTGGACCCTGTGATCTGGGTTCTTTCATCTTCTTGGATGAACCTTCACGCCGCCAATTTGGGCATTCGCCACAAAGCCTGGAAGCGCCTGGGACAGCTACCTCGTGGGCCATTGTGGCCAGGCATCTCATCGGCTACCCAAATCTGCAAAAAGTTGCCATCTTTCAAAGGGCCAAGCCGCGAGTTCCACCATGAAAGGCAAAAATCTCAAATCTCATTTATAGTCATCTTAATTTATCTTAATTCTCAAAATATCAGGTGCGTTTGAAACAAAGGAAAACAAAACAGAGGAAGACGGAATTGCAGAGAGAAATTTCCTCATGTATATTATGAATGATGCCAATGATACAAATATATACAATAACCAAATAATATTCTAACTTATCCCATACAATGACAATACTACCCTTTATGTACTAGGGAACATAAGTCCTTGACCTGGTGCACCTTTAAGGTATCGAAGGACTTTGTGGGCCTCATGTAAATGAGCATCAGTAGGATTTGCCGTGAATTGGCTCAAATTCTGGACACTATAGCAAATATCAGGCCGAGAGACTGTAAGGTATAGGAGCCTGCCAATAAGACGTCAATAAATACTTGGATCAGATAATGGAGTGCCAGTTGCCTGAGTAAGGTTGAGGTTTTGCTGCATTGGAACCTTAGCAGGGGTGCTGCCTAAGGTGCCGGAATGTGCAAGAATATCTAGTATGTACTTCCTCTGGCAGAGATGAATGTCGCTTGATGATCTCGCAACCTCTATGCCGAGAAAGTAGCGTAATGTTCCAAGATCCTTGATCTGAAAATGCCTGTGAAAAAGAGACTTCACCTCGTGCACAACAGCAATGTCATTGCTTGCAACCAATATATCATCGACATAAACAAGGATAACAACAAATGTGCCATTAATGTCACGGGTGAAAAGGCTATAGTCAGCCTTGGATTGAGAGAAACCTGCAACAAAAAGAACATTAGAAAATTTGGAATACCATTGTCTTGAAGCTTGTTTGAGGCCATACAAGCTCTTAAGCAATTTACAAACTTGAGTGGGTGACCCTTTTGTGTAGCCAGGTGGTTTATTCATATAAATATCTTCATTCAAATCCCCATGCAAGAACGCATTATTTACATCAAATTGATGTAAATGCTAGCCTTTAACTGATGCAAAAGCTAAAAGACACTGCCCGGTAACCAACTTAGCCACAGGAGAAAAAGTCTTTTGATAGTCCACTCCCTCAAGTTGGGTGAAACCTCGAGCCACTAGTCTTGCTTTGAGTCGTTCAACACTCCCATCAGAGTTATACTTAATTTTATAAACATATTTGCAATCAATAGGAACTTTTCCAGGAGGCAAATCTATAAGTTGTCAAGTCTGATTCGCCTCCAAGGCTGCTAATTCAGTGTCCATGGCCTTACACCATCCGGGGTCTTTAAGAGCTTGCTTATATGTTTTTGGTTCAATGTGGGTGGAAATAGTGGTTGAAAAGCTTTATAAGTAGGAGAAAAATGCTAGTAAGAAATAGTGTTGTGTAGAGGTGAAGTTGTACCTGATGGTGAATATAGCAACTTGTCCAACTTCGGGATAGGAGGAGTTAGAGTAGTCTGATGGCAATGGTAATCCTGCAGGTACTCAGGAGCACGCCTGGTTCTAGGTGTCCTACAAATAGGAACATGTGAAACTGAAGAAGGAGGGGGATGTAAAGTAGCAAGAGGTAATGGTGATGGAGAAATGGAAGTCTGTGGTAGGGAGGAAGTAGGAGGGGGAGAACTGGGAGCTAAAAATGTGGGAGGTGGAGACTGGTTATCTGGAAAGGTAAGTGAAGGTGACAGAGTAATGGAGTGGGGAGAAGGACTAGATTGTGGTGGAGTAGGAAGAGAGATAGAATAGGGCAGTGAAGAATTTAAAGGATGTGTGATAGAGTTGGAAGGTGGAACAAAAGGTGAAATGATAGAATGGAAGGGAAAAATTGATTCATGAAAATGAACATCTTGGGATAAAAAAATTTGATCAGTTTGTAGATCAAGTAATCTATATGCTTTAAGTCCAAAAGGGTAGCCTAAAAACACACATGCTCTTCCTCAAGGATCAAACTTTCTGCGCCCATGTGATAAGGTAGAGGCATATGCAAGGCAACCAAAAACTCTCAAGTGTTTGTATTTGGGGGGGGGGGGGGGAAGAGGTACTCATAGGGTGTTTTGTTATGAAGAAGAGGGGTAGGGGTACGATTAAAAAGGTAGACTGTTGTGAGAACACAGTCAGCCCAATATCAAGGTGGAAGGTGCGATTGAAACATTAAGGCTCAGGCAATATTCATTATATGTTGATGCTTTCTCTCGACTCTTCCATTTTGTTAGGGTGTTTCTACATAACTCCTTTGTGGATAATGGCTATGAGAACCCTATGAGTACATATGACGGTCATTCTAGAAACATCCGTAGCCCCAGTATTATTCTAAAGTAAGGGCACAGACAATACAGTAAGGCTATCATAGTGTTGAACGACCCTGTCGAAAGGCATTGACGGATCTCATTTGTCAAGGTTGTTTGGTGACAACCTGGTGTAATACATGGGTGCTTGCTGTAGGCAAGTTCACTAGACTGACCTACCAGAGGATTCCATGTGGATGGTAACCCTAGTGTCTATGGAATAAATCCTCTAACGAATGGTGCTGCATGTGATCCTTAGACTTGAGATCACCGGAGCATCTTGTACACCGATTGGTGTAGTTTGACACTAGTCTAACACAGTTCTATTCAGAGCTGTCAATACGGTGGTGATTGGCTGCATCAAAGAGTGTATCAAGACTATGGTGGATAGACAGATGATTCATTACTCCTGAGTACGGAAGAAGTTATTTCACGGTGCAATTTAGTAAATGGCAATGACACTAAAACTGTGGCCATAGTGGGATTGAGTTGTTGCTCTATCTAGTTTATTATACAGGTCATTGGTCCAATAACTGAATACATAATATCGAGAGTAACCGAAGGTAACGCTATTTCTATGCCTCAGTCTCGTTGAGATAACGNCACACATTTGAATGGTGATCAAGCATCCAAAAGTCATTAGGCAAAGAGATAAACACTCAATCATGAAATTAAAACTCAAAGTGAATCAATTCATATAAATTTGAATCATTGTATCAAGGTTACATCAAACCCCAGCTAAACCACTCAGTTTATACTCAAAAACGAAATAAAATAACAAAAACAAACTGAATCAAGATTCATCGTTGAAAAACAAGCAAAAGATGGAGAAATCTTCTCTAATTTGAAGCCCAAATCTTCAATCCTCTTCTCCTTCCAAGAACGGCCTTCCAAATGACGAATCAAGACACTTTTTCTCTTCCTTTTCACTCTAATTTATACCTCTCTCACTTAAGGATGAAGCCCTAGCAAGCCAAAATGCATCGTTTTATTTTTACATCTGATGCAGGTTTCGCCGCGGTGAAGCTTTTTCCTTGCTGCGGCGAGGAACTTTCAGGCCAAATGTGAGCATGATATATTCTGAATCTGGAAACGTGTTAACATATTAATTTTATCCCTTCCAAATATCTTTCTTTTTGTTCAAGAATCAGGACAATCCGAGGTCTACAGCTCACGTTATGGAAGAATTATGGA